ACGTCCTGCGACAGGCCCAAGAGTGGAGGGTGATGCGGCTGTCACACTCACGAGACAAGCTCCAGCCTCTCAGCGTGAGGCAATTACTCAGCCCTGGTCATCTAGAGGCCGATGAGTGGCGGCGGGGGGGACGGGCAGGGCGATGCAACGAAGATATACGGGCCGCGATGGGGTCCCTTCTTGGTATCCTGCATGAGACGATGGGCGTGGCTGCTGGGTCTGGATCGGGTGATGTAGCTAATTCTGTCGTCACTTACAGACACCAACCTGGCGTCGGTCAAGGTGAGGAGTCGTGGAGGGGTATCCGCAGGTAGAGATGCGCCCCCAAGGTACGAAGGCGCTTGTCGATGATACACACGAGAGACTTTGGCTTGCGCGAATGCAAGGCTATGGCGGGATGGATGGTGATGGTGTTGTTGTCTCCCGATGTAGGAGAAGCCTGCCTCTTCTGACCTGCGTCACCATCTGCACAATGGCCAAATAGTCAGGACTAAGATGTTAAGTCTGAGGTTTAGTCTGGCCCTAGGAAGCTTTAGCTCAACCTGGTGATGGACAGGTGAAGGCCCAGCATGGACATGGAGAGCAACGAGCGCCGATATGCCTCCTCAGCTATTAACAAGGTATTTATTAGTTAATTCGCTGCAGGCAACAGGCCGGGCTAGCCCACGGGTTGGCCCACGAACCGCTGCAGAGTGACCATGTCAACCCGTAACCCATGACCCGTCTCGTCCCCATTTTGCATTTGCGGCGGTGGAGCAGCGAAGGGTCGCAAAAAAATCAAAACGTAAATATCGTACATTACGTCGGCTCACTAGAGGCGTGACAAGTCCGCATCAGACGAGCCGAGCCACTTTCCCCTCTCCGGCGCCGCTGGGGCTTGGGAAATGGGCGTTGGGTTGGGTTGGGTGATTCTCGAACACAACCACGGGCCCCGATGGTGCGGGCGTTGTGTCTCAGATGAGGGGGAGCCAGAGTGATGGCAGCCAGGCTCGTTTCTGGCTGGGCCAGCCATCGATCGGCCTGCCTGTATGTCTCGCTGCACGGGGCAGTCATCCTGGAGAAGCTCAACCGGGCAGCCAGGAGAGCGGAAGCAGCCAGCCAGCCAACCAAGCAGGAAGCCGGCCAAACAAGCCTCATGCAGGCCACCCAACCAGATAGTCCCCTAGACAGGTTTGTTGCTTTTTTTGGTCCCCGCCATGCGCAGTGGCGTCTGTTTCGAGGGCCTCTTAGACAGCGTGAACGAGGGCTCAGCTTCCTGATCCGGCTGAAGCGACATAAACCCCAGTAGCGTCAGTCACATGGAAGGTTGAAGAGTCGCCAGTGAGGACGGGCCCCTCTAAATGTCCGCGCTGTTGCACCTCGGTGGCGGAACCAGCCAGTGAGTGCAGTGCTGTGAGCTGAGAAGGTGCACCTCTAGGCTTCCTGCCTCAGGTATGTCGTAGGTGGTCTGCTCCCCTGCGGGACCCCCTGCACGTTGGATGCGCGCCGGAGAAGCTTAGTGTGGGGGCCTAATCCACGGTGAGCGCGGCTTCCAGGGTTGGGTTGGCCTGGAGTTAGCGAGCAGCCAACTGGAGCTCCAGCAGCACCTCACTGAGGCGTCGCTGCTGCACATGCGCCTGCATCCAGCTGCCCAAACCTACTAGCTACGAGCCAAATTACCTTCCTACCGACCTACCTAACCTAGTATCCGCCACGAGGACGGTTGACGATTGATGATGCTCAAAGGGTCACGGATTCAGCAAGGTACCTTCCAGACATGAGGCAATAGGCGATTTTTGCCCTCCTCGTCCCCCAAGCCCGAGCCTGGCGCTGCATCTCCATCCCCTTTGGTACAGTACCTCCAACAGCTCCGGCCAAGTCCTCCCCCGGTCCGTCGAGCCAGGTCGTGTCGTCCTCGCTTGGCCTTCTCTTCCTGATCGCGTACGTGACATGACACGGACATCGACGACGCTCGAGCTCGATCCGCTCGTTGGGTTCGGCCAATTCCGCGTCTGCCACGGCCAGGGAAAAAACTGACCAGCAGACGAGCAGGACGGGAGGGGCCACCTTGTGCTCGCCAAGGTTAGGCGTGTCTCATCCATCAGCAGCCATGAGGCGAGTTTTCGTCGAGCGTTGCGCTGCCGCGGTGGGGAAGCCGGAGAGCGCCTGCCCAATACCAGCCCGCGGGTCGATGGATTTCGTGCTGGGACGGGTGTCGCTGGTCGTCCCTCAGTGCTCGTCTGGGCAAGCCGGAGGGGAACTTGCTTATGTAGGCATATGTAAGTGGCACGCAAAGCAGTATAGTAGGCGGCGATGGAACAACGAGAATGCAATGGGGAGAGAAACTGGCGCTGGTGGATGGGTGGACCGCTGTTGTTCAGTCTGTCGGGTCCAGGGCAAAAAAGAGGAGAAGTACCGAGGGCAGGTACCTGCTTGTACATGGTGCACATGCTGTACATGCGAGGTACCCGCCGGGGCCAGCACGTCGCTTTGTTTTCTCCCTCTCTGTTTCTCTCTCTGTCTTTTCTTTTTTTTAATCCGTCTCCTCCTCTCGGTCTCCGGACGCATCAGATCAGGTCAGGCCAGGTCAGCGAACCGAGCCAGGGCTGGGGGCTGGGTGAGCAGCCGGTAAGGTAAGGTAAGGCAGGGGAGGGTACCTCGACCACGCATGGATCGAGGTAGCGCTGGCCGGAGGTACTGCTAATCCCCTCCGTCATCAGTATGGCATGGTTGGTTTCAAGACGCAATATAAAAAAAAAACCACAGATGATGGGGAAAATTTTAACTCCCCCCCGCTGGCCTCGATTGACACCCTGCTTCTCTGCTTCAACGAGTTAGGTCTGTATGCCTGCCAATGGATCCCGCGAGGCAGGCCCCAGGGCCAGTGTGCAGGGAAGCAAGAGCCGAAGCGTCCCCTGCTGCTTTCTTCTGTGACGCACAGGCGCCTCGAATCTTATCTGATCCGGTTTTTTTTATCAGATCATCAGATAATTCCCTCATCCAGTTCCGGGCAGCCAATCAGCCCGCCGCCAGCTCCAGCCCTCGCCCCAGCCGGTCCCCATCGCCGCGGCTCTCTTTCGCCGGACGTCGTCGACTATCCTCTCGAAGAATAGGCCCGTTGCTGCCCCTGGACTAGCGGGCTTGAAGGAGAAAACTTCTTCACGGCCCAGGAAGGACAAGTCATCGTCGCCGGTGGGGGTGCGTGACCAAGCCATTGCATCAGGTTTTTTAGCAGCAGTGAATAGTCTAGTCTACCTGCCCGAGACAGCCAGATGCATCGGCTACGTGCCAAGGCCTTGGGGACCTTGGGCAAATGGGCAAATGGGCGACGAGCCATGGGAACGGGGCATGGGACAAGGGCCGTCGATGGGGGCCCACGGCTCTCTCGCTTCTCGCCACTCTCATCACTCGTCAAGAGCCGGCAGACTAGCTCGTGGGTTTTGTGACCTAGACGGCAAATTGCTTCTGCCGCCGGTCCATAATGGCGTCGCTGTTCATCTTATCAGATCAAGCTAAAGTTGCGGCTGGAGTTGTGCTATAAGCAAAGCTACAGCTCCGCTCCACCGGGACGAGGCCAGGACCAGCCCAGATTTGCAGCTCCGTCGTTTAAACTAGGCAATTTCAGATGGGTGATGAGTTTTGGCAATGACATGCCATCTCCCTGCGTGGGTTGCCATTTGCCTTCTTGGAAGGGCTGCATATCCGAGGCACACGCGGGAAGAGGGATCTGGCCTGGCCTGGTCTTTGATCCTATTTTTTTTCTCTTCCTCGACCAAGCGTGAGGAAACACGAAAACGACTCTTGCGTGTCCCTCATCCACTCCCCGACGACATGCCCTCCACATGTCCGTTGTGCGCATTGCGTTGACGAGGTGGATGGGGAGGTTTAGACTACGTAACGCAATCACAACAACTCTCACCAGACAGGTGGCTTGCCGTAGAGCAGCAGGACTAACGCCTGTTGACGAAATAGTTATCCAATGCCGCAGCTTGGGGGCCATCTAGAATCTTGCACTAAGCCGTTGGTCAGAACGTCCTATAGCCCCTCTAGTCAAGGATCGTCTCCAAATACAGGGACAGCAAGCCATCTACAGCATCGCAGAACCCAGCGACGTCCGATGACGGGCAATATCGGAGTGGGGGACGAGAGGGGCGGCGCAATAATGGTAAGGCGCCCGGTACGGAACCTTACCATGCGGGAGCAGCGATGGCGAGAGCTGGCTGGTGGTGCTGGCGAGGTCCGGTCCCCTACATGTCATTGGGACTTGGAGCTACATCAGCTTTGGGACTTTTAGTACTTGATGGGTGTGGATGGGGTGGCAGATGGCGGGACCAGTATGCAAGGGTCCATTCCAAGGGTGCCGTCCTGGGTTGGTCCTGGGATGTAGCAGTCAGAGGTCGCTTGCTTTTTGGACTGGCTGGTGTACCTCGAGCTCGTACACGCGCGGAATTGGCCTAACAAGCTGCAAACCGATCTTCCCTCACTCGGTAGGAAAATCGCGGCATTGGCCATTGTGTACATAATTGCCATGGCGCCCCCCTTTGGCCCATCGAGAAAAACCTCCTTTCTTTCTTCCTCTCTCCTCATCATCTGCCGGCCAGGCTATACGCTATATTATACCCCCTCGCTCTCAAGTGCCGTCGTCACCTGCTCGGCGTTACGAGGATCCCACAATTCCAACGTACGTCCCGAAGCAACTCGCTCACTTACACCCACGGCCAACCAAAGATCCCCGGTACCAGTGCCAATCAGCCTGCCTGCCTACCTACCTTACCTTGATCTCCTCGACTACTCAACGTGGTCATCCCCGAGATAAGCCATTCTACACTTAGGTTTTACCTTGCTGCCGCCAATTACAACCTGATACCGTCATCGACTGTCACTCTGCTCCACCCTAGCTCTACTCTTATTTTTCCCTTTCTTCTCGCGTGCGTGTCTGGCATCAGGGAAACCGACACCGGAACCAGAAGAAGAAGAAACTAATTATACCACCTTCATAATCATATCATAAATCACTCACAATGTCTCCACATGTCGAAGATGATGTGCCTAGCAGCTATCGCCCCGTGAGCAACGGTGTGAATGGTCACACTCACCACCCCACCACAGCTGTTGTCGATGGCCCCATCAACGGTACCACCAATGGCAACGGGGTCCACCACCACAAGCAGAAGCGTCAGCACCGCGAGCGGTCCAAGCACCTGGTCGCCTCGGATCCTGCCTCAGAACACGACCTCATCTGCGTCGGCTTCGGCCCCGCCAGCCTGGCCATCGCCGTTGCCCTCCACGATGCCATTGAGGCCGGCCAGAGGTTCCGCCCAGACGGCTCGCCGCCCCGCGTGCTCTTCATTGAGAAGCAGCAGACCTTTGAGTGGCATGCCGGCATGCTGCTCCCCGGGGCCAAGATGCAGATCTCCTTCATCAAGGACCTGGCCACCCTGCGCGACCCTCGCTCCGAGTTCACCTTCCTGAACTACGTGCACCGCCAGGGCCGCCTCGTCGACTTCACCAACCTCGGCACCTTCCTCCCCGCCCGCGAGGAGTACGAGGACTACCTGCGCTGGGCCGCCTCCTTCTTCGAGCCCCTCGTCCAGTACAGCCACGAGGTCGTCGCCGTCACGCCCGAGAAGAAGGCCGCCAACGCCGTCCAGACCTTCAAGGTCGAGGCCCGCAACGGCAAGACCGGCCAGACTCACTTCTTCCACGGCCGCAATGTCATCTTCGCCACCGGCGGCCAGCCCTCGCTCCCCAAGAGCTTCCCCCAGAAGAACCCCCGCGTCATCCACTCCTCGCAGTACGCCAAGGTCGTGCCTCACCTCCTGCCCAAGTCCTCCGCCCCCTACCGCGTCGCCGTCATCGGCGCCGGGCAGAGCGCTGCCGAGATCTTCAACAACGTCCAGACTCTGTATCCCAACTCCGAGACCTGGCTCGTCATGAGGCAGGAGTTCCTCCGACCCAGTGACGACTCACCTTTGTACGTATTTCCCATTCCTCTCCGTGTTGGCTCCTTGGTCTACCAATTGAGCTTCATTCAGAGACAAAGGCATTAATACTAACACTTATCCAGTGTCAACCAGGTCTTCAACCCCGAGTACGTGGACGAGGTCTTCCCCAAAGCCGCCAAGCACCGAAACGAGTTCCTCTATGACGCCCGCGCGACCAACTACGGCGTGGTCCGCCTCGAGCTGATCGAGCACCTGTACGAGAAGATGTACGACCAGAAGCGCGAGCTCGGCCCCAACGAGCAGAGGTGGCCGCACCGCGTCCTGGGCGGGCGGCAGATCTCGAGCATGGAGACGCGCAGCGACGGCGGCATCGAGCTCAAGGTCCAGCGCCTCGGCGACGTGCTGGCCGAGGGCTCGTCGGCCGAGGAGGAGGTCTTCCACGCCGACCTCGTCATCGCCGCCACCGGCTACCAGCGCATGTCGCACGTCGAGATGCTCAAGGGCGCCTACGACCTGCTGCCCCGCGCCCAGCCCTCCAAGATCCAGGAGTTCAAGAAGGGCATCCAGGGGTGGAACGTCGAGACCGAGCAGGGCGAGCGCAACATCTCGGTCGGCCGCGACTACAAGGTGCAGTTCGCGCCCGGCGCCATCGCCGAGGGCTCTGGTGTCTGGCTGCAGGGCTGCTGCGAGGGAACACACGGTGTAAGTTTTCCGCGCTGCGGGTTGAATCTTTTCTTTTATAGTACGGATGCTAACGATTAGTGCAGCTCTCCGACACTCTGCTATCCGTGCTCGCCACCAGATCCGGCGAGATGGTTGAGCATATCTTTGGCAAGCAGTAGAAGCGGGCGTAAAAGAATGAGAGGGAGGACGAGCGTAACCTAGACCGTCGGTGGGGGGAGGGCGGATGGAAGAAAAAAGTATACTCACAAGACCAAACCGAGAAGGGTCGACGATATTCATGCGTGATGGGCTAAAAAACCTAACCGAAGCGAAAATTATCACATCATCATTTGCATATCCCCTCAGTAGAAGAAACCCTAGTATTAGCTATAACTATTATTACTCTTTTTTTATTTTTATTTTTATTTTTCTGACGCTTCCGATCTGGACCTTTTGCCTGAAACACATGGGCGGTGCGCAGCCACAATCGAGCCCTGCCAGGCACGAAGCAAGCGTACCAGGGAATGTGGGCGCATCCACTCTAGGCGTCGAAATTACCACGCGCCTGTGTCACCTTTAAGTGCTGTGAACCAAAGACCGAGGGGCAGTAAGGTTAAAAATGGGAATGGGCCGAGGTGCGTTGGGAATTTCGCTGCCTACGTCCGAATAGTCGGTGCCTTGCCCAGGCTGCGAGGAAAAATACGAAGGACTCGCGGGAACCCGGCTTCGGGCTGCCGAATACCAAGACCTGCGAACCTGCTGAGGACGCGCGGCGGTGTCGTTAGGTGAAGCAGATGAGGGCTTGGCAAGCGTGGGTTGGCACACTGGGACACGCAAAGCCGATGAGTCCTTGCAGGAGAATGGAACGGCGCCAAGACAAGAGTTGGGTGAGCGGCCAGCTAATATTAATAGTGACGGCTCACAAAAGGGCATGACGACACGTAAGTAGGGCGCGGGCAGGGAGGGAAGGGGAACCGACTGAACCGATACTCCTCGTGCTTTGTAAGGCTGAGACCGGGATGAGGGGCGATGGGACAGAACAGTTAGTTGGAGGGTCGGAGCGGTTGAGGAGAGCGACAGAAGGGCTGAGGGTAGTGGGGGAGGGGCGCTGGAGAGCTCACAGCTTCAGAGCTCAGACTGGCCCAACAGAGCTCCAGGCCACCTAAACCGCATCGCTGGGCCGTTGGATCGGGTGCTTTTGCGCGCATGTGGCCCCCCTCCAGCCCTCCAGCACCACATCCCTTGGGACAACATGAGCCATCCATTAGATGCGTCCGGGGCATTTTGTTCCTCAGGCAGTGGCCTACGTTGACGCGTACGCGGCCGTGACCGGGGGGGTTGGGGCATCACTAAGCCCGATCGAGGGCGCAGACGATCGCAGACCGCTCCAGCAGGCCAGACCATCACCACCCACCCCGGTCCAGGCGTGCTCCCGACCATCAAAAAGACCTCCGCTAGGTCACCCACATTCCGCTCGTGGCAGTCGGCTCACGATCCTCCCGCGTCCAGGTTGACAAATGCAGCGTGCCCATCCCAAATTATTGCTCGCAGGCGTCGTCATGTTGCCGCACCCCTTGTCTTGCCAGCAGCGCAGCGCGCAACCGTCAGCCGCTCAATGACGGTGCCTGGAATTTCTTATCAGAACGTCATGGCCGAACCTCAGCGTCGCCTGTGCCCCCCGGCGGCTTGCAAGAGAGAAGGCACAGATCCATCATGAGATAGAGTCAGAGTTGTCTATACTCCAGTCGATTCCCTTATTAGAGTCTGTTGGTCCGCCCCCTCAAGATCAGATATATCCTTGATCAACATGTCAATCATCAAGATGCCCCGAGGCAAGGAAGATGAACAACAACAGCAGCAGCAGGAGAAGCAACAGCAGCGCCTCCCAGTCAACCCTCGCCGTCACAAGGTCCCTCCAGCACAGCGCAAGCGTGTCGCTCAAGCGTATGTCCCTCCCTAATCTAATCAGACCAGACCAGAGTGTCATCATGATCCAGGATACTGATGTCCTCCAAGATGCAATAGCTGCAATCTCCGACGCACAAGATGTTCTGGCGAGACTCCATGCAGTCAATGCGCCGCCTCATCACGAGAATGCGTCTACCCAGGCCCCTCCGCCAAGGTCTTCATCTCCCGCACAGAGCTGGACGACCTGAAGCGCCGGGTGGAGGCCTACGAGAGGGCTCTGCAAGATGTCATGCCCGATGATGACAAGCGCAAGGAGTTGGTTGCCCGGCAGGGCAGCTTCAGCACACCTTCGGAGACATCCTCGGCCTCCGCATCGCAGCAGCGATTCCCCAGCACCAGCCCGTCCAAGTCAGACGCCATGACGCCCACCGACGACGGCACCGGCCCCTTCTCTGAGATTGAGGGCCGGCTCCTGCATGACAACCTCGGCACCGCCCGTTTCCATGGCGAGACGGGCGAGAAGGCCTTTGTCGACAGCCTCAACACCTTTCTAAGAGGTCTCCTCCCCACCAGTGACTTGTCCACACTCCCCTCCTCTGTAGGAAGATGCGAGACGTCAGACTCGCGGCCTCTGCCATCCATCGTGAATGTTGACCCCCGCTGGCTCCCCCCTCCCAACACCACGCGAACAATGCTGAGCGTGCTGAGATCCTTTATCCAAGACGGTAGCGACGACCGGCCATCCCCCACCGGCGGTATCTACTGGTGGGGCGATCTCCGGTCCGTGCCGTCCGCGACGCCGTCCATCGGCAACGTCGAGGCAGATATCCGGAACGCGCGCCGTCTTGCCTTTTATCAAACGGCTCTGGGACTGGCCTGTCGCATCGTCTCGACAGGGACCCCCGCGGTCGGCCAGATTCCAGACCGGAGCGAGCAGTTCTTCGCGCGGGCCACGGCTCTGCTGGGAAATCCGCTCGATGTGTCCCGGCCGTCCGTCGGCGAGGTCTCCGTCCTCACCCTAATGGCATTCTTCCTCCTCGAGTCAGACAGGAAAGAAGCAGCAAGTGTATATATAAGTGTTGCAGTGCGTCTAAGCGCAGCCCTGGGTGTCACGCAGGGATTCGTGGAGGAGAGAGGGAAGCGGATCTTCTGGACTCTATATGTACTAGATCGGTGGCTTAGCTACCTCCTGGGCCGGCCCCCGACCATTCTGGATGAGGCTATACAGTTGCCTCTCCCTGCCGATGCACCGTACGTTGTCTCTATTCGCCCGAAAACCTTGCTCTCCCACTGCTTGCGCGGCCGTCCCCTCCCCCTATATACCCCACTCTGCTAACCTCGCTCCAAAAACGCAACAGGTCACTCCCTCCCGCTGCCGGCCTCAAGGCCCATATCAGTCTATCACGTATATCCGGGCAGATTGTGAGCAGTCAGCTATATCACCCGTCGCCCTGGCGGCAATCCGGGGATGATTCTGCGCTGTCCACGGATACCGCCCTCTCCATGCTGGACCAGTGGCTGCACAGCCTACCCCAGTCCCTCAGACTCTCCTCGGAGGGTCTCAGCAATGACGCGGCCACATGCATGCTGCACATGCATCACAACCAACTCAACATCCTGGCCCTCCGACCAGCCCTCCTCTCCATGGTCAAGAACAGCCTCCTCCCCCAGTCCCCATCCTCCGTCCACTCGAGCATCCCGCCCTCGTACGCGCGGGACTGCCTGGCGGCAGCTGAGCGGAACATGCGCCTGGGCCGGCACGTCGCCACCCTCCACCGCCCGCGGCGGCTGCTCCACACCGGCCTCCATTTCATCTTCAACGCCGTCCTCTGCTTCTTCCTGCAGTCCCTCGCGGGGGACGACGGGCCCGCCGCCGCCCGCGAGGTCAAGTTCGCCATCGAGCTGTTCGACCGCGAGGCCCAGACGGGAAACATGTACGGCGCGACCTGCTCGCGGGTCCTCCAGGAGCTGCAGTCCCTGGCCGCGCGGGTCCAGAACAGGTCGGCCACGCCCATGGACGTGGACCAGGTGTTTGGGGAGATGGAGCAGAGCCCGGCGTGGCATGCATTATCGTCCAGCGCCTCGGAGGGTCAAGTGTCGGAGGGTAGCGGGGACGCAGCGCTATTCGACGAGGTGGTGTCTTGGATGGAGAAGGATTGGGCGGCGTACAACATGGACCTTTGAGGTGGTCACTGGCTGGTATTGATTGGTGTTGATCATCACGTTGGCTAATAGAGGACTACGCATATGTATAATTATTACCATTATAATGACACGCAGCTATTAATCATGACCTTATCATCCATGCAACTGTCAATCAATCATAGTGCAGGGGCGAATGAAGTGGTGTCGTACACTTACATATATCGTCGCGGAATATCCCAACCTCAAGGGTAAGGATTGAACTTACGCAGCATTTACCCCACCGTGGGATGGAAACTCCATTGAACAAGGATGCCCACTAGCTGTAGTTAGTATATCGGGGCTGTGACCTCATTAAGCCTATACCTTGTCAATTCTCCGTCGAGGGCACACCTCCAAAGCACCAATCCGGCACACACCAAACACACGAGACATGGCCTTCCAAGGGCCAATCCGCCGTGTGGCAGCTCGAGCTACGTCTCCTCACACAGCCCACCTCCGCTGCTTCTCATCAACCGCCCGCCGCGCCCAGGATCTGCAGAGGCGCGCCGTCGTGGGCAGCTTCCTCCTCAGACGGGACCAGGACGGCACCCCAGAGGTAGCCCTCTTCCGGCGCACCAACAAAGTCAGCACCTACCAGTAAGCCATTCCAGCCCCATCACCCTCCCTCCTAATCCAGCGATTGACCAACAGGCACAAATACGCCACCATCTCCGGCGGCATCGAGCCGACCGACCCAACCCCCCTCGACGCCGCCAAGCGCGAGCTCAAGGAGGAGACGACCCTCGACGCCGACTCGGACCTGCGCCTCCTCTGCCGCGGGGCGCCGTACTCCTTCGTCGACCGCAGGGCGAGCTACGAGTGGTCCGTCCACCCGTTCGCGTTCCGCCTGCCCCCCGGGGCGGAGCGGTCCATCCGTCTCGGGTTCGAGCACGAGAGCTACAGATGGTTTCCGGCGGACCAGATCCCCATCCCCGAGCTCGCGGCGGGGATCGTCGAGAGTCTACGGCGCGTCTGGCCTGAGGGGGCGCTGGGTCGGGTCGAGGCGCTGTCGAGATTCGTCCTCCGGGAGGACGATGATGCCGGCAGCGTCGATGCAGCGTGGGGGGCGTTTGCGCAGGCGGCGGGGGAGCGGCTGGCGGAGGGGAGGGAGGAGTGGTGGCGGCTAGTGAGGCTGGCCGGGTGGCACGTGTGGAATAACAGCGATGCGGCGGTGAGAGGGGAGGTGCTGGGGAGGGTGGTGCCTGCGCTCGCGCTTGTCCGGACGCTGGTGGAGGGGCAAGGTGAGGTGCTGGCGGAGGGATTCGAGAAGCTGGTGGCGAAGGAGCTGGGGAGTGTCAGGTTGGCGAGGGAGGAGGAGGGGCAGGTTGCTGAGTTGGCGGATCGGCTGTTTGGTGATCTGTGGGAGGTGCCTGAGGAGGTGAGGTAGTGGGACGAGGGGGCCGTGTATTTTTGCGAAAAGAGGAAGGTGATGGATATGCGTGATGACTTATGAGATTCATAGAGCTTTGGATATAATTGAATATTGTCAATTGGCCAGGGTTGGTTGATCAAGGTGAGTCTTCGGTACGTAGCCGAGTCATGATGATGCTCGGTAGATTGCCGATAGCAGTCATTTGTCACGTCAACTCCACATCATAGGTGAGATACTGGATGAGAGATTGAGTCATCACACTCCATGGGCGTATATAAGACCAGTGGGTGCTCAACGGAACCAGTTTCATGAGGTAACTATACTGGCAGTGACATAAATAAAACACATTGCAAATCTCAACATGGCCTCTTCAACGAGCCCTCGCATAGGATGGATCGGTATGAGAGACACATCCTTCAGTCTTAATATCAACCCTTTCTCTCTCATCTAACCGCAATTCTCAATGTCTAGGTCTGGGATCCATGGGCCTGGGTATGGCCTCAAACCTCCAGAAGCACCTGTCCAAGAGCGCCGATATCCCGCAGCTCACATATCACAACCGCACCATGTCTCGCGGGGAGCCCCTCCAAGCGCTCGGTGCCTCTCCATCAGAAACTATCCGTGATCTAGTCGCCAACATGGACATCATCTTCATCTCGCTCAGCGACGATGCTGCCCTCTCCCAGACCCTGGACAGTCTCCTAGCCGACGGCGCAGCAGAGCACCTCCACGCCAAAGTCATCGTCGACACATCCACAGTCCACCCAGATTCATCCGTCAAGGCCAGGGATCGACTCGCAGCCAAGGGCGCTCTCTTCGTCGCCGCCCCCGTGTTTGGAGCGAGCCCCGTTGCCGCTGAAGGGAAGCTCCTCTGGATCATAGCCGGTCCCAAGATCGCCATCGAGGCTGCCTCCCCCTACATCCTCGACATCATGGGCAGGAAGATCATCCAGATGGGTGAAGACGTCAGACAATCCAGCCTCCTCAAAACCGCAGGGTGAGAATCTACTCCATCTAAAGAACAAAAAACCTTTGCAGACGAGAGCTAATCCATCTCAGCAACTTCGTCACAGCCGCAATGATGGAGGTCGTCGCCGAAGCGCACGTCTTCGCCGAAAAGACCGGCCTCGGCGACGACGCCATGTCCGCCCTGTTCGAGTTCCAGTACGGGCCCCTCGCGCACAACATGTCGCGCCGCCTGACGAGCGGTGCCTACATCCCCGCGCCTGGCGAGCGGCCCTGGTCCGATCTGCGTCTTGCGCTCAAGGACGTGGCGCACGGCGTGCGCTGCGCCGAGGACGCCGGTGCGAGATTGCACGTTGGGGAGCTAGCGCTCAAGCATCTTCAGGAGGCCAGTCGGGAGGAGAGGCCGCTGGACTCGTCCTCCCTGTATGGCGTGTTGAGAAGACAGGCTGGGCTGGATTTCGAATCGGACTTTGTCAAGGAAAGAGATGGGTCTAAGTAAATAGTACGGGTGGTATTCTAGGTTCTTTGAAGGAGTTTAAGGGTAGCATAGATATGGCGCCTCGCTATATACACAGAAAAATTACAATTTTGTTTTGGGTAATCCAAGCGGTCACGCGTCCGGCTTGTCAACAAGCTGGCTCTTCAACCCATCTCTACCAACCCGCATTGCCATTTCAACCTCTCGCTCTTCTTCTCGTAGATTTGCCTTGGCCCTCGCCACGTCTCTCTCCCTCTGCCGCCTTGCGTCATCCGCAGCCCGGTCTCGGTCCCGTAACGCCTTCTCCCGTCTTTCTCGTTTCTCTTTGGCATCCAACACCGCCTGTGCATCATCTGCATCCTCATCTGGAGGTGGACCTAGGGTCTGGACATATGCTTCAATAAGCGGGTCTCGCACCGACGGTTCCAAGGCCGCATACCGTGCATCAACCAAGACTTGCGTTGGTAGGACCGGGAACGACTTGTTGTTGAGCACGTGGATGGGCTGGGCTTTGAGAAGGGTGTTTAGGTCCGCTTTGCGCGTTGCCTGAGGTTGCTTCAGCCGGTTGATGTGATCTCGGTATGCCTTCTCTCGATCCTTGTCGGAGAGGTTCATATCCTTCATGGGGGCCTCTTTTTTGTATTTCCGTTTGAATTCCGGCCAGTAGAGTTTAGGTGTGGCCTTTTCTTGTAGGAAAGCCATGTATGCGACACGGGGGTCCTTCTTCTCCTGGCGCGCCCGCAGCTCCTTTTGCAAGTTGATCTTCTCACGCGACCACTCGTCCCAGCATTCTCTTCGCGCCTTGGTGGTGTTTAGGGCCGTATACCGAGAGTCCTCGATGATTTTTCCTTCCTCCATCAATTTTTCCCAGGGACTGAATGGGTTGATGTTGAAATCATCTAGCAGGTCTTTGAATAAAAGCTTGGCATCCTCTTCGGAAAATTCCAAGCCCTCTGTGCCTTCGGGCCAGTCCTCCATGTTTCCGTCATCGTAATCCCCAGGTTCCAGGCCGTAGTCTTCGCCCATAGCTTGGAGCTGTGCCATGATATCCGCCTCGGTGAATTCCACCGGCGCTTCATCCCCTGGTTCCTCTGTTCGCTGTCGCTTGGTCGGGTGCTCCCCATCCGCCTCTTCTTCACCTGCCTCGTCGTCCGTAACTTCGACCTCCTCGTACTCAGAGCTATCCTCGGCTCCCTCTTGCTGATGAGCCCCAGTGTCAGCAGCCTTCACAACTTTTTCAGTCTCCGCGGGCTCCTCGTTGGCCTGGGTTCCCTCAGCCTTGCCACGTATCCTAGCTTTGTCAAGCTCCAGAATGGCAGGCATCAACTTCTCGGGTATACGCCAATAACTCGTATTCTTCGCCGGGTTATACACGAATCGCCTCGAGTACTTGGTATAGACTAAGATCCACGGCTCGCAGCCAGGAATCGCCTCTTTCCTCCGCGGCTTGTCGGTGGGCTGTGGCTTCGGTCGTCCTTCATGACCGCCTCTACCTCCTCCACGACCTCCGCCCCGACTGCCATATGATCCGCCTCTTTGCGACTGGTTGAGCTGTGCCAGGTACGCATTGGCGACTTTCGGGTCGGAGAGATTTGGGATGTTCCCATACGGTACGTTCGGCGTCGTCTGGGGGGCAGCGACCTGCGGCGCGCCGGGGCGAGTGTATGTTGATGCTTTGGTCTCTGCGTTGTAGTAGTATGTGTGGCCGGTCGGCGCTTTATGTTCAGACCAGCCAGGAGCAAGAGGCGCCAGCGCCTGGGCTGATGGTTGGTACGTCGACCTGAGGCCGCTGGGGCCAGACCGTGATTGTTCCATCGTTTCCAGCTTGTTCAATTCCAACGGTCTTGGAAGCTTGGTGGTGACCAGATGGATACCTAGTGCTGGGTTTGAGGAAACCTTGGGCCAGAGCTGGAACTTTTTATGTCTGGCAGCTGAACAACAAAAGATTACCTTTTTCAATTGGAGGGGCACGTCACCGCGCAGGTCTTGTCCACCAGATGATCACCTACCCTACACTCAGACTTCCAATCGCAAATACTTGAAACCCTGGATGAGCAGCAATAATATGAGACGTCCAAAACTTGGTTGAATATATCACAGTGGCTTTTATTATATCAATTTTTTGCCAACTATAAGATTGTCATTCTAGTGAGAAACTGTCCTCGGAAGTCGTTGCGGTTGGTTGCGAATCTTCATCAGCCTTCATTTGACCCACAGGATTTCATCCTCCATTTTCAATAGTTGTGTTAATTGTTGCCCCTATAAATCTGGTCTTACACTCGACTGCCATCTGCACTTCACCCGTTGCTGCGCTTTTGATTTTCGTCCCTTTCCTTTCTCAAACACCACCTGGCGCTCTCTGTACAGTGTAGAGTCTTAATGCTCTGTAGTGTATGATACCAGAGCCTTGCCATCGTGATTATCATGACGTCTCACCCAAACGGCGGGCGATCAACATGTTGCCAGAACACAGCTCTGGGTAGAGCATGGAAGGTATTGCAGCGGATGCCGGTTTCTACAACGGCGCATAACCAGAATCCGTTCCTCAGATGGCTGACTGGCTTATCAGACAACGAATTTACCGGATTACGTGGGGCTTGCCTTCGCAGCCGTGGCTTGGGGTCTGGTATGTCAACCTTCAATTGGGGCGTATAGCTAGAGTGGATGGGAGGGACTGCTCAACTCACACCTTCGCCAAGATTGTCGCCTTCGTCAAGCCATTCCATGCGCTGTTCTTTGTCAACGATGTGAGGATATCGTTCCCATTCGCAGAGGTTGAGCGTGTCTCTGTCCGTGAGTCTTTTCTTGTGTTGAATTCGCAGTTGGGCCGCAGCGTTGCCTATGATCACCACCATTTACTCACAAACATGGGGTATCCTTAACAGCCTGGAACATCATCTACGCCCTATTTGTGCCGTTGAGCGTCCTGCTACTGGTAAACTTCTTCGCGCGCTCGTCGGCCGCCAAGCATGAGGCCACCTACCTCGCCTTCTTCATCTCCATCGCCCTCTCCCAGCTCCTGACCGACATCCTCAAGAACGCCGTTGGTCGGCCTCGCCCAGACCTTCTCTCTCGCTGCGTCCCCTCTGCCTCCGCCACAACCACCAAACCGGTCGACATCACCGCCTGCACCGCTCCAGACAGCCGCGTTCTCCAGGACGGCTGGCGATCCTTCCCTTCCGGCCACTCCTCATTCTCCTTTGCCGGCCTGGGCTTCCTCGCGCTCTTCCTCTCAGGCCAGCTCGGCGCCTTCCGCCTGGGCACCCGCGACCTCGGCCGCGCCCTCGTGTGCTTCACCCCCCTCGTGGGCGCCGCCCTGATCGCCATCTCCCGCTGCGAGGACTACCGCCACGACGTGTACGACGTCTGCGTCGGCTCCGCCATCGGCATGACCGTCGCCTACTGGAGCTACCGGAGACACTGGCCCCGGCTCTCCAGCCACCGCTGCGACGAGCCCTACCCCCGCGGGACCATCGCCAGCAGGGAGCAGGGCGACGCTGCGGGCTGGCAGCGGGTCCGGGATGAGGAGGAGGGTGCTGCTGATGTAGGCTATGAGATGGACACTTTGCGGGAGAATCGAGGCTGACCTTCTCCCTTTGTTTTACTTGAATTTAGGCGTAGGTTGACAAAAGTTAATGTTGGGCGGCAGTGTATTTTGATTTCTGAGGAAACCGGAAGAACAACATATTCCAGATATTAAAGGGCCGAATGAGAAGGAGCTCATTAAGGAAGCGTGAGGATCCTTGGTGTTATGTTCGACAGGCAGATAGGTCAAACGAGTGAGAGATCTGCCTATCGAAGATAACACCAAGGATTCTTATTTCTTCCTTGATGAGTTCCATTCCATTTAACCCTTCAATATCTGGAATTTGCTGTTCTTTTGGTTTCCTTGGCTTGCGCACTGCCCTGTTTGCGTTCTTTGCATGTCCCATTCTCAGGGATGAATGCTTGTCTATCCGTGTATTTCTAAATATACTTGGCTGGGTGCTAGGCGTATTTGCTTGTGGTATGCAGTTGCTGGGTGGGCTGAGCATTTTGGGCATTTTGGATGATGCATTAGCATTTCGTCTTTGGGATTCAAATTACATCAATTCATAGATGATGCATGTTGTATCGTCTTGATCATTTTGATTTGGTCGTTATTTCTTACATGGGGCCATCCATGCTAATTAGGACGATTTCACTTTCTCAAACCCTTGACGGATCGTGTTGTCATTTCCTAGTGAGCGCCTCTGTCTATTTCTCCTCAGTATCCTCGTTCTTGGCTAGGTCATTCTTCTTCAACAGCTCGTTGATCTCCTCCGCACTCCAGAGTCGGTGGTAGATCTTGCCATCCTCGGTCTGGCCTATCGTCGCAAACTCGACTAAAAGATGGCACGTTAGCAAGTAAATCCATTAGTATCAGGCAGCGAATGCCTGGAAATCCGGGGGAGACGCACTCTTCTCGCTGCTCAGCTTTGTTGAGTCCATGGTCTTGCTAAGCACCTTGACCGCCATGCCGCATGCCTCCTCCAGCGTGCAGTCTTCCTTGTAATCTTGCTTCAGAAGACTCTGTGCGCTCGCGTTGTTGGCACCCGTGCTGGTTGCCTTCCAGCCACCGTAGTTTCCAGAGGGGTTGCTGAGGTAGAGCTGGAATTGCCGTCTGGGGTCCCAGCCAGCATAGATGAATGACACACCGAAGGGCCGGAGACCACCGTGCTGAGTGTAGCCCTGCTTAAGATCACAGAGTCGGCGGACAAGCTGCTCGCAGGGTATGTCTTCGTTATATGTGAGGAGGTATCGTTGAGCGGCCTGTCGGGCGTAGTTGATCAGGATGTTTGCATCGGCAGTCATACCGGCCACGGCGCAGATCATGTTGCTGGGTTTGTTAGCTACGAAATAGGTGGACTTTGGTGAAGCGAAGAACTAACTCGTTCAAGATGTAAAGCTTCTCTGCAGATGTGTCCTGCTCCAGCAACTTCGATGTGACCTTGCGCTCAGCAGCAAGGACGATGCCATCCTTGGCAAGGATTCCGATGGCAGTTCCGGCGTGGGAGATGGCCTCTAGGGCATACTCGACCTGGTATAATCGACCCTCAGGGGAGAAGATGGTGGTCTATTGATCATCATTAGCTTCCTAAGTTGGAGATGGTGGGAGGTGCACCCTTGGGCGGGGAGTTGAATCGACGCACTCTGGAATCGTAGCGGCGAGACATTGTGAGATATTTCTGCCGACGATTGACTTAAAGAAAATTTCGACGACCCGGAAGCTTGCTTGATGTTGAGGCAGTCGGCGTCGTGGGACAAGGGTGGATGATAGCGTCGGTGTGGTGGAGGGGAGGCTTCAATTCTTAGATCCGGGTAGGTCGTGATACAGCTCCAGGCACGGCCGCCGCGTACTTTCCAGCTGCTGAACAGCTCTAGGTTCCAGGTCGTCATAAGCCATAATGCTTAGTTTACACGGGGATTAGCCGGCGGAACAGCTGTGGCTGGTGAAGGATGTGGCGAGGGAACGAGATGTGGCTAAGGCCTGTGACAGTTAGAAGTGGCGTCGGCACTCGTTGGAACAATTACGTCAGCATGCGGGTGAACAATGTTCCTCTAAGGTATTTGGTGAACACAACCACGCGAGCATAATAGGAGAGAGGTCTATTGTCCCCGAAATCAAAGTTGAGAAGTACGGCATTGTAGATGAAATGTAATAAGCTCTCCAGAAGCCGTGTTCTCGTACATCAGCCTTTATGGTAGAGGTACCTCGGCCACCTTAGATACATTGGATGGTACCTCCCTGCTCTGGACACGGCTCTTTCTCTCCACTTCCGTTTCGGGAGCCTGACTGAGCAAACACCATCAGGGAAGGAGCGATTAATTGCTACCAAGGGAAGGAAGGGAGCTCTGCCAACTTCGCCTCCACTTTCTCGACAGCCTTTTGGCCTCCTCCACACAAATCTCTGAACTTCTCCAATGCCACCACGCCAAAAGGAGGCGGTCCTCGAGGTCCTTCTTCCGTATTCCCCAACCTTCCATCTAAAATAGATTGTTCCCTTCACGTCGCTCTGTCGCTCCATCACCTCTGCAGCATTGCGCCTAGGTTCGCGTGCCGGCCGCAGCCTGACATCGCCCGTGCGACACACCACACCCTGACGTGGGCCGTAACCGCATCGCGCACCCGCGCCAACGCGACTTTTTACCTGACCCCAGCCCAGCCACGCAACGACCAACAAACTCTTGCGCACGTCCTGGCTACTCCTATCCTCGTGAAGTCTGTCGTCCAGGTTGTGCGACAGAAAAGTGCTTGACAGACAGGCGCGAGTAGCAGATTTCGTGTTTTCCGACCTCTCCCCTCCACACAAGCTAGCCGGGGCACTAGACCCAGCAGGCAAGATAGCCCACTTGGAAGACAGAGCCTTACCTGGTTGCATTCTCCTACTCTGGAGGGAACGAGGCAGTACAGTCCTGGTTGTGATTTTAGTCCTGAAGTAACCCCTTCTTGAACCATTCCCGTAAACCCATGCTCCCAAGGCAGCGCGCCTCTGTTGTACAACAGTAGATCTGAGGCAACTGTTCGCCTGCGACTCGGCAAGCTGCGTGCCCGGCACCAAAGCAATCAATCGCCCCGTCGCGCAACAAACTGTGCCGCGCCGCGCTGCGCAAACGCTTTTGAAACCGCGGATAAGTACAGCGATCAAAAGAAAAGACCAAAATCATGGCAGGTAAGCCTACTGTTTGCACGCGACCCCTCCCTTCGGCATCACACTCCCCGGCGCGGTCTATCATCCTCGTGTGGTTGTCTGCGCGGACCTGCCCATTGATCCTCAGAATCCATCATCTGGAACAAGCACGATGCCTACCACCAGAAGCACACACAAGGCAAGGGCGAAAGCAAAAGCTAACGTGAAGGTAGCCGCCGACGCCGAACCACGTCGCTCCGTACGGACCACCAAGGGCCAGCACACGAAATCCTTTGACGAGCTCGAGACTCCGCCTACGAAGCGTCGCCAAACCAAGAAGTCTAAGAAGGTCCAAGAGCAACAAGAGCCAGAAGCAACCCCAGAAGAGCCCGAGGAGATCATCCGATGCGTGTGCGGTGCCACAGAGCAAGACGAAGACTCGGGTGAAGCCTGGATTAGCTGCGAACAATGCTTGGCCTGGCAGCACAATGTGTGCGTTGGTGTCAGCTCGTTCGAAGATGAGATCCCTGACCATTACTGGTGTGAGCAATGTCGCCCGGATGACCACAAGGAGCTCCTGGAAGGGATAGCAAGAGGCGAGAAGCCATGGGAGGCCAGGCGCAAAGCTCACGAGGAAAAAGAGGCCCAAGAGTCCAAAAAGAAGAAGAAGGGAGGTCGAAGAGGCAAGGGGAAACGAGCCGTTGACCCGAAAGATAAGGGCAAAGAGAAGGAAAAGGAAAAGGCCCAGGATGAGCGACTAAAATTAGAAGCCGAGAAACAGAAGGAGAAAGCACAACAGGAGGAAAAGGAAAAAGAGCGCCAACGACAAGAAGAAAAAGAACGAGAGAGGCAGAGAGAAATAGCAGCAGAGAAGGAAAAAGCTAGAGTGAAAGAGGAACAGATGGAAAGGGAGAAGGCCGAGGAGGAGAAAAAGGCAAAGGAAGAAGAAGAAGAGCGTGCAAGGGAGATTGAGAAGCAGAAGAAGCTGGAGCTGGAGCAGGAGCTGGAGCAGGAGCAGGAACGGCAACGACAACTCGAGATCGAAAAGGCAAAGGAAAAGGAAAGAGAGGAGCAGGAAGCCGCTAAAGCAAAGGCGAAGCCCTCTCCAGACCCTGTCACTGAAGCCCCCGCGGAGACGACTGGCAAGGGGAAGCGAAAGAACCGCGAAGGCTCACAGGAAGCGGATGGAAAGGTAAGCACTTTATTCAAGATTTCATCTGAAACGTAATTCCCTGCGACATGAGCTGATATAGTATATAGCCACCCAAGGTCAGGCGTGTATCTGCTGAGCCAGCTGCCATCAAGCCCCAGAAGTACACGGCGCCAGAGAATATTCCCGAGACAATCAAAGAGCTCCCTGGCACCCGCACTGGGCCCGGTAAGGCACTGAAGAAGTCCATTCTTCATGTCTTGTCGGATATGGCTAAGCACAAGAGACTCCAAGTACCGGAAGGGGAGACAGTGGAGAGCATGGGCGAAAGATTGGCACTTCAGATCGAACGGGCAGTCTACGACACACATCCAGGCATGGCTAAGGGACAGAAGGAATACAGTCAGCAGATAAAGTCGTTGACGTTCAACCTGAAGAACAACCCAGAGTTGGTTCGTGGACTGCTGGAAGGTGTACACACTCCTCCCGCGCTGGCTGTTATGACATCTGATCAGCTGGCCTCTGCCGAGTTACAGCGCCAGACAGCCGAGATGAAAGCGAGGGTTGAGAAGCAGTCAATCCTGCTAACACAAGACTCGGGACCCAGAGTGCGACGGACGCACAAGGGCGAGGAAGTTGTTGAAGACGATAATCTACCCAACACCAACGAGGAACCAATGCCGCTACCGCCAGGTGGCGGACCACCTACACGGCCCATTAAGGATGAGTCTGTTGATGCCAGCGACCAGATCCATCAGCCACCAGGATCCCCTCAGAGAGATGACAACCAGCCTCGACACTCGCCTACCCAGTCCAATTTCGACATCGGCAAGGTTTTCTCCAGCGTGCGCTCGCCTTCCGTCTCCCACCCTCGGCGTCCGTCAGCGCCCGTGTCACAACCTACTGGTCCTGGCGAGGATGCTGATGTGGACCGCATGCTTCAGGATGAAAATGATTCCCCGCCTTATTCGCCAACAGAGGAAGCACAGGACCCTGATGTCGTCTGGCGTGGAATGCTGGCCATGAGCACCATCGCCAACTTTCAGGCAACCGCCAAACACATTGGAGGCGCCAACTTTAGCTCCATTGGGCCCTGGTCCAAATTGATGCCCCCGCGAATGAGTGTAGCTGGCCGCATTCAGCAGCAGAACGCAGTCGAGTACCTCTGTGGCCTGCGGTATAGCAGCTACACGGATGTCATTGTTGTCAACCTTGAGCCCGCCACCCCTGAAGCTCGCCCCGAGTTCACGGCGATGATTGAGTATTTTGTCAGCAAGAAGCGATACGGTGTTGTCGGCGACAAGGTAGCCGGAAATGTCCGCGATACGTACCTGGTCCCGGTTCTGGCTGGCGAGGACAACTATCCTGAGTTCATGCTGAACTTGGCTGACAACCACATCCCCAAAACCCGAACAGAGCCCATGCTGCTGGCGGTCTTTGTCTACCGTAGTGATCCTGCCGCACTCAAGCTCACCACGCCGCCTACACCGTCCAACGCATCCGCGACGCCAACGCCAACACCACAAGGCAGCGGCCCCCAACGCAGCCAGTCGGTGTCTGGGCCCGCGTTTTCTCCAGCAACGCCTCTGGCGACCCATGGCGGCTTCAATGCGGCTGCCCATCCTCAGACGCCGGTGCCCATCCCGCAGCCTCCATACACCCGCCCGCGGCCATCCGGTTCACCTACCGCTGTCCCAGGACAGCTCGCGCCTCAACATGCGCCCCCAGTGCAAGGACAAGTCCCTGTGCCTCAACTACCACAAGCCCAGCACCAGCAATATACCCAAGCACATCCTGCCCAACACCCACACCCGCAGCAGGCACACCAGCAACAACCAAGACCCCCGTCGCAAATGTCGGAGGCACAGCGTCATCAGGCGCAGCAGCTTGGTCAAGCCCTGGCTCAGGAGGTGCTCGGACCGCAGCTTTTCAGTGCGCCGACGGCCCAGTTTCTCATCCCTCAGGCATGGCAGATGTCTCGAATGGAATGGGAAGTCGTCAAGAATATCTACGAGAGAGATCCCAGAGCGCGGGAGGATTTACAGTATTTGGGTGGGTTGCTGGATAAGGAGCCAAAGTCAGCTGGGGCACGATAGGTTCTTGAAGCCGTACGACTTTGAATTGTTTCATATGACTGCTGTTAGGCAGGGAGGATGTAACATTTAGCTTAGCGGGAAGAGCCATTTTTAACGCTCCTTTGCGAAGAGGGAAAGGAGCTGGTTTGGACACTCGGCGTTATGGGGTATAGTTATCTTGTCTATCCGCCCTTCATCTTCTAACTTTGGGCTCATGTTTCCGCTTTATGTTATAACTTCATATACCCGGCTTGGAGGAAGGGGGCTACGTTTGGAGGAATGGGACGTAAAAGATTGCCCGTTCGTTATGAATCTTCTATAGGCACGTAAGCTAGCTTCAAATTTTTACTTTTATCGTCGTGTGCTTCTCTTCCAATCAAGTTGATTTCGGCACACTGCTGTTCGTGTTTTGCCCAACCAACCCCACCAAGGGGTATTGGGAAACCATTTCTGCCCTTTTCACATTATAATCCCAAGACTTTTCTTAGGCCTCAACTGACTCTCGTCCGCCACGATGAAGGCTGAATGAAGGTCATCAGCTTTCCATCCTCTAGTCCTCTTTTGCTTCTAAAATGTAATGATGCTATGGCAGGTAGTCTCCCACACATCCAATCTACGCAAACGCAGCATCCGTCGCGGCCCAGAGCTCAGCATCACGCCTCTTATCCAGCGCCTTCAGCTCCTCCGCCACCTGCGCAGCGTCCTCGCCCGCCGCCGCCGCGGCCCCCCGCACGGCCTCGGCGGGGATGGTCAGGCTCCCCAGCCCCTCGAGCACCCTCCTCGCCTTCTCGACCTGGGACCGGACGGCGGTGGTCTCGCGCCTCGTGCGGTCGAGGTGCTCCTGCATGAGCTCGGCGGCGGACTCGCGGGCCTGGTGGGGGCGGTACTCGTTGAGGGCGTGGTGGATGTTGAAGAGGAGGGTGTTGAGGTCTTCGGCCTTGGCGAGGCCGTCGCCCGGGTTGATGGAGAGGGTGCCCGCGAGCTCGAGGAAGTTGAGGAGCAGGGACTTGATGAGGCGCTTGAGCTCGAGGGCGTGGTCGGCGCGGGGGACGTCCCTGCGGTCGAGGGAGCTGGGGGTGGCGTTGTCGCCCTGCCGGGAGGGGTGCGTGGGTGCGAGGTTGGTGATGCCGCCCTCCTCGAGGGTTTGGAGCTTATCGTCTAGCTGTGTGTGCTTTTTGTTAGCCGTGGATCATGAGAGAGGAAGGCATTTGGGGGGGTTCGAACCGAGAGGGGCTCTCCGAAGACCCTCCATTTTCCGTCCTTGGGCTCAGCCGGCGGCTGTAGGTTTATCAGAGAGTCGGGTATGTCTGAGAGGCGTATTGGTACATCGCGGGTGGGGTTTGCCTCTGCAAAGGACTTGCGTAGCTGTTCGATGCGGGTGAGGTTCTCTGGGGTGAAGTCCTGCCAGAAGGATGGAGGATTGGGAAAGGTTGAGCTGGAGGATTGTTCCTGTTCGGCCATTGTTCAAGCCAGGCGCCGGATTGGTCACCTCATCTGACTGTGTGCATAGAAGGGGGGGAGATGGAGATGGAGATGGCCATCCGCGTCTGGGTGCAAGCTCGTGATGGTGTAGCGCCTGGCACGAGCTTGTGTCAGAAGCAGCTACAGGTTAGGTTATGCTTGAGGTCGATAAAATGATCGACGCTTGGATTGCGCCGGCTAATCAACGGAGCTGGGGCGACCCACTTGAAGCTCCTCTTAAGCGCGGTGACATAAAACGTGAGACACTGGAACGCCATAGCCAATTTCATTCTGCAGGCATTGGGGGCTTTTAATGTCAAGTGCATGTGCATATTGAGAATTCATCACAAATAAAAAAATCACAGCATTGTTGTCGTGCCATGTCCGCTGGTGCTCACATCGTGCTCGAGATCGACTGAGTCCCTTGTAGCGCCCTGTTCATAGGCGAGTTCAGCGGTGGCCAGTGAGCGGCCAGTGCTGCTGTTAGCGGTCCCCACGCTCTTGACCAGTGATGTAGCGCTAAACCAATTGAATGGAACCTCGCTACGTCCAACGTCAAGACCCTCCATTCATTCCTCTTCCCTTCAGCTAGACTCCATCCCCAGTTTGCCAAACCACATCTCCCGTCAATTCCATCGCCCTGGACCCTCGTGTTGCTCCCCGCACTCTGGATCCTTCCTTTTTGCCAACGCCTCGTCCGAAACCTTGCGGAGATACGGCCCACAACCCACGCACCCCAATTGCCCTCGAGCGAGAAGGAACAGAAAGCCAAGGCTCTAGCTCCAGATATGGCCGACGCTCGCGCCCTGTTGCGCCAGCAACGGACTGCCCGCCGGATCACACACCCACAGGCCGCCTACTCCGACACGGGGAAGCTCCTCTGCACCCTCTGCCGCGAGCAGGTCCGGTCAGAGAACCTATGGGAACCTCACCTGAAGAGCGAAGGCCACAGGAAGCGGGCGTCCACGCAGAAGCAGCAGCAGCAGCAGCCGGACGATGAATCCTCAATAGTAGCACCCCAGCCGACGACAGCAGCCCACAAGAGGAAGTTCGACGAGGACGAGGAGATGGGCGATGCCGCGGACAGCCCCGAGTCCCAAGCGAGAAGGAAACGAAGCCGTCCACAGACTGCCTCCCCTGCCTCCGGCGCCGGCCCAGACGATACCGGCAGCACCAAGGGCCCGCCCTCGACAGCCAGCGGGCAGAACGGCACCCCGAAAGAGCAGCTGGATCAAACATCCACGCCTCCTTCTCTTACACGCCGCTCCTCCACCACACCCTCCCAAGGCGTCGAGGTCCAAATACCCTCGAGGCCAGCCACGCCGCGCGACTCCAATTCGAACTCGGCCTCCACCACCAAGACACTCCCTTCACGGCAAGCCAGCACTGCTCAGCTATCTGCTGTACCCACGCCCATTCCCGAGAACCAAGTGCCAAAGCAGACTGCCGCTGGTCCTTCCCTGGCAACGGGGAGTAACACCAACAAGACCGACGCCCAAAAAACCCAGGTCGATGAGGATGAATGGGCCGCCTTCGAGGCGGATATAGAAGCTACCTCCTACGACCAGGACGAAGCCACAATCTCCGCCCCAGCCATGACTGCCGCCGAGTCTGCGGCTGCACAGGCTGGAGGGGAGGAAGAAGACGACGGCGACCTCCGGCGGCGGAAGACGGCGCTCGAGGCAGAGCTCGCTGCCGAGCAGGAGGATGCCAGGCGGGCGTTCGAGGACGAGATGGACGAGATGAACAACCTCGAGGCCAAGGTCCTGCGGCTGAAGGAGCAGAGGGATGCTCTCAGGCGGCGTCGGGCGGAGAGCCAGGGCCAGCAGGACTCCGTCGAGGCGCAGCAGAAGGCAAAGACGCTACTGGGCAAGGAGAACGCGAGCAACGCCGCCGTGGTGGAGGAAGGCTCGGACGACGAGGACGACGAGGACGAGGATGAGGACGACTGGGATGGGTTCCGGTTCCGGGCTGCGGTGGCACGATAGGCTGATATGTCTTCTTCACCAGCATGCGATTTTACGGGCATCATCACTTGGGCCGGTATTTGACACTCAGGGGTAATCAGTCGGCCCCTTGAATCGAGAGCAAACTTGGGGATCCATATATATATATACAGATATGTTCACTTGTACGATAAGGAGTATAAACACGGTGCACGGGCGGGACGGATACTATTTTCTCAGTACCATGATGGTTCGTCATGGGGATACCCAAAAGAGACTTTGGAGCATGATTTTGCATCCTTCTGGTAACTGTTCATATCTGTTCATGTGTGAAGGTGACTTGGAAGGGTAGTGCCGACTATGTATAGGCATACTGGGCTCTGCTAATACGTGTCTCTATGGCCATACTAGTGGCAGCAGAGGCAGGCGACTCGCTAAGAGGGACATAAAACTTGGAATTGGGTCTGTTGCCGGGCGAAAGAAAAACTAACTCCGAATTGGAACGATCAAGATAGACCAAATTCGACAGACATCAGATGTCTAGCTGTAGTGAAGGGAAAGAATCATGCTGTGTGGTAGTAGACGAGAGGCTCAACACTGAAACTAAGATAGAACTATGCTGTGAATAGCTGGTGGTGCACTAAAGAAAGATGAAGGGAAGTTTCCGATGCTGCTTGACAAGTCTTGGGTGCGGCCGTCTTTGATAGCGATCGGAGTTATGGAGGTGTACGATGCCAAAGACAAAACACACATCATACTGTCACGTATCTTTGTCCTCGACTAGACTAAATTGAACTATAAAGCGGAAAGGGAGGGAGAAAGGGAAGAGATCGAAGCAGCTCTACACCGCCACGACGAGGTCAGGAAGTGACGCCGCCCAGATGCTGGATATCCTCGGTTTCCGGATGGGATGCCATGTTAATTCTACCTGTGCCATACCGCCCTACTACACGTATACTGGCTATGATTATAACGGGATAAGAGCTACGACAGTCAAAGCGATTTTGAGTGACAAAGGTTTGATTCCTGATTACAGACGAGGGAATGGGGAAGGACACTGGCGTCGAAAGAGCCCTGAAGCCTTGAAGTGTGACAAAAGGTCCCAACCAATTCACATGGGAGGGTCAAGGAATGCCTCATCCCAAAGGCCTCGCTTACATTTGAGTGCTGGTTTGGCACCGTACAATGGACACAGCAATACAGGGGACTCAAAGAGGACGGTAGTAGGAACCAAGAGCAAAACCGGTCTGACAACGTCAAAGTATTGGACAGTCTTGTCCTATCGGAAGACTCCAGTCAAGGAGCCGGAGAGGAAAACGACCCTCCCATGGAAGGTAGGATGTAGGGCGTGAGAGCTGGCGGTTGGGGAGCGGCGTTACAATGCTGGCCAGCACACCCAGGCCGACAGTACTTGTTGAGATGTCCTGAGCCAAGACTTTCTTTCGTAACTTGCTCGTCATAAGTCGGTGATCATGCCTCATCATAACGCCGTCATCACCCCCCCCTCTAATGATGCGGGAGGTAGACTAAGAGTTGGGCAGCGACAGCTGGCCAGTGGCCCGTGCTGACCATTCCCCGTCTTTTCCTAGGTTGATCCTGCTCGTTGTTTCCTCCTCACTTATCACCTGCAAGTGAGGAGAAAAGAAGACCGTTGCGGGGAGGGGGGGGGGACTGGATGAACACCTCCATCACGCATTGACAAGGACGAGGGTAGTTTGACGGCGGGCAAGGGGAGGTGTAAGAGACAAGTTAGGGTTGGCGAGGAACGCATAGACCAAAAAACAAGATACGAGGACATGAAGAGGACCTCTAGGGGGCCGCCAGAAGCGACTGAGTGGGTGGGCGGATGGATTATGTGTGATGAGCTGGATGGTGCCGAGAAGCGGGACCGTTTTTCCTGCGCTGTGATATGCCATGATGATACCTACATATATTGGACCAGTGATAATGTGGGGATGGACTTTGGACTGGGCTGGGCTGGACTGAACTGCAATGAACCGGACCGGGCCATCACCACTCCCTCCGGCCCAGGCAGGGCACGGTTTCACTCCCCCATGCTTGCTCCCCCTTCGGCCCAGGACCCGTCCAGTTTGGCGAGATGAGACTAAAACGAGACAAAAGCCGTGCCAGGATCCCACCGAAAGCCACCGACACATCCCCTCGGTCTGGATGTGTCGGGCTGAGTGAGAAACGTGAGGATAATGCGGTGGAGGGTGGGCTGGAGCCTTATCCATCCGGCCGTCCCTGTCTTCCTACGGCTGGCCCCTGCAACCGTACAATTCATAGCAACTAGTCTGACGGAGATTGCATTCCGAGAGAAGAGATTGGGCAACTGCTTGGGAGTCAACAGCTCACACTGGGCTGAGGACCATTGCCCCAGTCAGATCCGGATGATCTACCTCACAGGTCGCAAGTAGAATCGAGATACTGCACCAGGGAAGACTTAGTGCCCAGATATGCCCTCACCACATGTACCGACTCCAACGCGCTAATGTATGGCTGCATGCCATAGCAACACCGTGCGCACACACATGTATACCAGCCGGTGCTCTGCTCTCTCTGATGGAGGGGGTGGTGCTAAAGCCGTGCCATGGCACGGTCATGTCATAGGCACATATGGATATCTGTCGGCCGCTCCTTGGACGACCTGAAGGTCACCGTAGGCTGTGAGACATGCATCTAGGAATCGCGGAGTGACAAGAGAGGGATATCTGGGCACGCGCCAAAGCAACTACCTGCATGGTTGCAGGTGGCTGCACCAGTATATCAGTCCCCACTCGTCAAAGGCGACTCGGCTCAGGTGCGACTCGAGCGGCCCAGATTCGTCGATTCAGGCCGCAGGTGAGAGCCATCCCAGCTCACCGACTTCCTCGAGCGGTAGATGGATGGAACTGGACGCTGCGACCTCGAGGATCCGGCCCGTCTTGCCTACGCAAGACAACCTCGATAAGCGGAGCGTCGGCGATCGTCTGGGGATATTATGGTTTCTGTGCCATCGCAGCAGACTCCACCGCGGCTGTGCTCGTCATAGGAGGGGAAGAAGGGCACAAGATT